CGGGGCTTGGGGGCCGCCGGCCCTCTGTTGTCTGTCGCGGCCGCACGCCTGCTTGAGAGCCTGGCGCAGTGTCCGGGCACACAGTGGCGTCAGTAGGTGTTGAGCGAGTGAGCATAGGGAGGCCAAGACTTCCTGCCACCCGTGCCATCTCGGTTCCTTCTTCCTGCACTTTAATTTCCCAAACAGAAACCGGGACTCCGCGTCTCATCTTGCTGGCCGAGGCTGGGAGCAATTCCAGGCGGCGGACCTGGAGAAGCAAGGGCCTGGGGCGGAGGGTGGGGAGGACCCGCACTTCCTGGAGCTTACCCGGGAGTGGGGTCATGCATGGGCCACCAGGCCTCTTGACCACCTCTGGGAGGCCAGAGGAGGGCACTGCCAGGTCCTCCAGCAGCAGATGGGCTCTCCGCCCTCCACCGTTATCCCACCTGTTTCTAAAATGTCTTCAGTCAGCTAGAAAAAGAAAAATTGCAAAGTTCAACGCCTATTCCCTTCATGGTCCGGATGGAAGGCCACCTCTGCAGATTCGTTAGGGATGGAGAACTACCTGTTCAAGGCACACACAGCTGGTGTAGGCCTGAAACTCTCACCCGCCCGAGGCCAAGCTTTCCTCACCAGCAAAGAGTCAAAAGAGGCCCTTCTGTGAGGTGTAGTGAGGAGGGAATACCCAGGCTGGCAGGGCTGCTGTGAGTCTGGGCTGTGACTTACTGGCCGCCCTCTGCTCTGCTGGGCCTGGCACGGCCATAGGAGTGATTTTTCTGGAGAATATTCGGCATTTGGAGGAAGAAGATCTTGGGAATGGAGGTGGGTGGAGTTTGAGGAACTACTTCGAGTCTGTCAAGTTCCCAGGGACCTTGGTTCCACTGGAGCGCTCTAACATGACATCAAGTTCTCCAGGAGCTAGGGAGGCTCTGTCTGCACTTCCCCGGAAGAGGGCAGCAGCTACTGAAGCCTCTGGACAAGAACCCTGAGCCCAGGGGAGCAGCAGTGCCATCCTTGGAGATCCCTGCCAACCCCAGAGCTAGTGCACCTGCCAGGTTTGGGATGTTAGGTACTTGGGATTTAACAGGTACTGAGCACCCACTGTGTGCTGGGCTTGGTGTTGGATGCGTTATGTGATCTCATTTTGTTCTTGAGCCACCCAGTGGGACTAGGATTGTTTGCCTCATTTTTAAATTAAGGAGTTTTAGCTTTGGCACCCAGGCGTATCTGAGTCAAAATCTCTTGCCACGCTGCCTCCAGGAGGATGGCTGAACTGACTTCGTGGGGGCAGGGACTTGCCTCTACCACCACTTCTGTCCTTCACGGGTAACCAGCCGTGACAGCATCATGCAGGCAGGGCCCGTCTTCCCAGTGTGCACACAGAACCTGGCACATGGCGGGCACTCCAATGTCTTTTGGATGAATGACTCTCAGGTCCCAGGAGTTGAGGGCCCTAGACCTAGCCCTTGCCCAGCGCTCTGGCCCCACATCCTCAGAGGTACCCACTGCAGGCCTGACAGCTGCTGTTGGCTTCCGAAGGCTTCCAGCTGTGCCACTTCCAAACCATTACCACTAATGTTTGGGGACACCCAGCATACGGCAGATGTCTTTAGAAAAGCAAATTCTGTTCTGTCAGGAAGGAAAGCTAACAGAGCACAAAGCAGGTTAAGAGGGGAAGATTTATGAGCCAAGGTCCCCAGAAAATAAATGAGAGAAGATTACTTTTATTTATTACTCTCGCTTTTTGTTAAAGACGCAGATACCCCACCGGTCTCTGGGCCAAGGGCTGGAGAGATGCATTGCTGGGACTGGAAGGGTTACGTCTCTCAGACTTGGCAAGGTGTTGAGGATGGGTGGTTTTACAAGACTTGACTCAGGTCAGCAAGCCTCTGGGAAAAGGATCAATCTTGGGACCCAAGTCTGAGGAGACGTCAGCTCTGGGCCTCTGTAGAGCTGCCCAGAGACCAGGAACAGCTGTTAGACCGGAGCAGGTATATTTGGGCCTCGGTTTCCTCCTCTGTAAATCTTTGCCTGCAGGATTCATCAGGGCTCTGTGAAGAGGAAATACGAATTGGATCTCAAACACTCGCCAAAGCAGAGATGCCTCTCTGCCAGATTCCTGGGCAAGCTCTCGGCATCTTCCTTCAGCCCTCCGCCCCTGCCTAAGCATCCCCCAAGACCAAATGGCTCCTGGAAGCCCTTGGACAGTCAACAAATCTTTCTCCCAATTTCCCAATTTTGTAGATTCAGAGCTAATGGCAAGATGCTTGCTCGATGCGAAAGGCGGAAAATGTTTAGATTTATTGCTTTGAGAATTTGGTCTGTCTCCTGGGCCTGGTTGATACAGTTTCCTCCAAGTTTCAGAGCATTTTGTTTAAAAAAAATTTTTTTTGACAGCAGTGTCTTGCCTTACATTTACGTAAGGTTTTATAGTTTACAAAGAGCGTTCACATAATAATAACAATCATCACTATATGTACTGAGTTCCTACACTGGGGAGCTCAATTAACCCTTGAAATCACCCTCCCTTTCCACAGATGGAGAAGCAGAGGCTCAGAGAGGTTAAGGGGATTGCCCAAGGTCACATGGCCACACAGGGTCACACAGGGAAAGGGCAGAGTGGAGCTGAACCTGGGTCTACTCGGTTTGAGCCTGCGCTTGTCACTCTGCCTTTCTTATTTTCAACTTGACCTAGTGCACATGAATCTGCAGATAAATAGTGAGAAAACAAAACAAAATAAAACCCAGAGGCTTTTGCAGAAAACAGTCGGAGGCTGGAATGAGTATAATAACCAGGTGTGTTCAAGGGAATCCTTGCGTCCCCAAACAATATGTTTTGTGCTAAGATTATTTTTGTAATGATGGAGTTGGTGGAGGGTCAGGGAGTCAGTGAGCAGAGGATAGGCTTTCTAAGTTCTAAGACTGTTCCGTCTAAAATGGTGACTAGTAACCACACGTGGCTATTTACATTTAATTAAAATGAAATAAAGTAAAAAATTCAGTTCTTCCACTTGCTATATTTTAAGTGCTCAATATCCACATGTGGCTACCCTATTGGACAATAAAGGAACATTGCCATCATCACAGAAAGTTCTCCTGGACAGCGTTGTTCCGAACCACCAGTGAGTCTGCCCCTTCTTACCCTGACTGTCCTGGAGGAGGGGAAGCTGCTGGCACAGGTAATAGACACACACACCTATTTTGAGGTAGCTGCTTCTGTAGCCAAGGTACCTATAGATGTCATCCAACACCTGAGTCCCTCTCTCTATTCTGGAGAGGCTACAACTCCAGGGATCCAAATAAAAGGGAGAAACCTAAGGAGTGGCCATTAACTGAGACCTTATTTCTCAAAGTCGGTCTGAGGACTGGCAGCATCAGCATCTCCTGGGAGGTTGTTAGAAATGCAGAATCTCAGGCTCCACACCAGACCCACTGAACGTGAACTGAACGTGACCCTGCATTTCAACAAGATCCACAGGTGGTTCAGGTGCACATTCAAGTTTGAGAAGCTCTGACTTAAGAGACAGGCTGAACGAGATCAAAATATTGTCTCAAATATAGGAAACCAAACAGATATTTTTAGATACAAAAAAAAGCATCCGTACCCCACCCCACTCCCCCGTAGAGTGTGATTAAGCCTTAATCATAGAGGGCTGAGCATCTCTGTGCCACATGGTCAATGAGCCTATTTCCAAGCACAGATCCCAGGGGCAAGCTGTGGGGAGCTGGCCCTTCCCCATTTCCAGCACCTTTTCAAATGATAACGGGTCACCTCCCCAAGCAAAAGGAACAGAACCTGGAGTCACATCTTGGATCTCAGAGATGCTGCCTTTAAGTCAGATTTTCTATTTTTGCTTTTCTTTCCAATGCATTTGGATTTTGAACTTTGCAAATTGCCAAGGACAGTGCAGTGCATGAAGCCAGTCTGAACCAATACACAGTCATTTAAAGCAAGGGTCCCTAACCCCTGGGGCCACTGACCTGTACTGCACAGCAAGAGGTGAGCAGCGGGCAGGGGAGCGAGAGAAGCTTCATCTGTATTTGCAGCTACTCTCCAGTGCTGGCATCACCGCCTCAGCTCCACCTCAGGTCATCAGGCATTAGATTCACATAGGAGCACTGGTCCCTGGTGCCAGAAAGTTTTGGGACTGCTGATTTAAAGGGAGGCATTTGGAAAAGGACAGTGTCCCCACCTTCCCAGGGGTGTGATGCTCCGCAGGCCTCAGTGCCTGGAGCCAGAGCTAGCGAAGCTTGCAGGGAAGGAACCAGCATCAAGCTGTTTTATGAAGAAAACAGGTGCACAATGCGGTTCCATCCGTGGTGAGGGCAAAGACTAGGCTTAAATGAGCACAGCAGCCTGCTGACCCTGGCTGAGAAGGAGGGGTCTGCTCAGAGCCTGGTTTCTGAGCTCGATTCTGCAGCTCCTTCAGCGAGGATGACTCATCCTTTAATTCCTCTCTCCTGTCAGCCCACTTTGGGTCTCACTTATTTTTATCCCTGGAATGGAGTTAAATTGTCTAAAGAATGATAATTCTCCACCTGCAAGG